GCAGAGTATTCAAGCCATGGTCGTGTGCGGTACCAGGCAGGATTGAACAACCTCAGTTTTTTGCTAAATGCACGTTTTGGGTAGCTACTTAATAATAGCTGAGATGGTGCAATGGTGGTTAAGTCACTGGGTAAAATGGGAAGTTTGGGGTTAACTGTAAGAACAGCTSGGAAAGGAGGAGGTAGAGTAGAAGTAGTGCTTGCTGGTGTTATGCTAGCTACTGCTGGAGTGATGCAGGCAGCAGAACCACTACTAACGTTAGCTGATGCGCTGCTAGCTACAACACTGGTAGGGGTAGGTGCAGCGCTAGCTGCTGAGGTGCTAGCTAGAGCATTGCCACCATGATCTCCATTGGTAGGGGCAGGAGGAGTATGTTTTTTAAAAGCTCTGAAAAACGGATGCATTGTATATGTAACCTCAGAATGATCAGCAGAATGGAATGCAAGCAATCTCTACACTAGTGTTGTATGTCACTTGTTTACAAGGCTGAGTCCCTGAGGAGAATGAGATACACAAGGTTGGGACAAGTCTGCTGAAAGTTTTACAGGAGTGGAAAAGTGAAGATGGGATTGTAAAAAAGCAGCCAGATTGCAGAAGTTGGGTGGGGGRGGGGCTTTCTTTAGGGGTCTGCACGCACAGATCATTTGTGCTCAGTCTGTGGCAGGGAGCGGACAGTGCTCTCTCCCCGTGCTGTGACACATGACAGGGACTGTGGGCCCACACACCCTGATCTAGGAGAATAGGCTKCAGCTTAGCTACTACAAGAATTTGATTATGTGGTTTTGGTTGTTGTTGTTGACTGAGCAAATAAAGATTTTCAAGAAAAATATTAACTCTTGTTTTTATTATGTTATTAGCAATTAAGTATGTCACTACACAAAACACTATGACCGAATTTAACAGAGCTCCTTTGCTTCGCAGTTTACTGCTGCAAGCTGCTATTAYAAACCTGACACTAGCTCATTTGCATACTAAAGGGTGATTGGAAGTTGGGCAGACAGCTATCCCTCACAGTGAACCGGCAGCAGGCCGATACACTGAGCAGAGCGAAAAGGGGAGATGGAGCGGAGGTGAGAAACATGACATGAGAAACAACCTGATATATTTTATATTTGAGGGGGCAAGCAAGACATTAAGACGAGGAGAGAAGCATGAGATAATAAAAAATATATGAAATTTAATATATTTTGGGGGATTTAGTTTGAGGGGACACAACATTTATTTGAGGGGGCCAGGCCCCCTCTTGCCCCTGCCTAGACCCGGCCCTGGGTAGGCTGCTGTTGCCAGCGCCCGGGGAGCAGATGTTGCCAACATCCTGTTCAAGGGCAACAGCAGCCCACCGCTCCAGTATATGTGTGTACATGGCATCTGTCAATGTATGTTTCTATGTGTGTTTCGACAGGTGCCAACTGGATGGGTTAAATGCGGAGAACAATTTCATTTATGCATGTAAAAGTGTCACGGGACAATAAAAGTAAATCTTCTTCTTCTTCTTCTTCTACCTCTACAAAAGCCAATGCGAATTAGAGAAGCCACGAAAAGTGCACTGGATGCAGCATCCATTACCAAAATAGAACTTCATCTTAATTGGGTTATTTTAATTTTGCCATGCATATCATTCCCCAAGGTAGATCAATTATCTCTAGATTATTGCACCTCCGACAAATCGTTGATAAACCGCATGATTTTGTAGAAGAACATAGATGTAATCCAGAATAAATACAATTTTCACTGCCGTGTGTAAAGAAGAACAGCATATATATGTACATATAACTTACATTTATATGTATGTATGTATATATATATATATATTTTTTTTTTATTTATTTATTTTTTTTTCTCTTCAACAACGACTTCACTAGCCATCAGATTCTTTACTGATGCTGCTCCCTCCATCAGTTTTGGGGGATCTACAATATTGCGCAGTTTGATCTTCCCTCTTACGTCAACCCACTGCTCATTAGAATTATTTCCTATTATCGTTGCTTGCATCTCAGAGGCAAATCTGGTCAAGGAAACAAATTAGTTCAGTGAAAACGAAGCAACCGTGCTTTAATGTTCTCTGTTCAAATCTTAGCTAAAATGACCATGAGTGCTAATGACTGAACAGCAAATCGTTCAGTTATTTGCTTGCTGCCACACACAGAGATTCCACATAACTGTAGTACAACCTCTCAAAGAACGCATGCCTGCATTCTTAAATAATAATTTTAGATGTCCACTTAACAGTTGTATGACCTCTCGCAGAATGCATGCCTGCATTCTAGATTAGAGGTCTGCAGCATGCTTGCTGATATACTTAGCTAACTCATATAACAGTAGTACGTCCCCTCGCAGAATGTACGCCTACATTCTTTAGTTGTTTTTGTAGAGGTCGCAGCACATTTGCTGCTACACATAGTCATTTCACATAACAGTAGTATGTTCTCTCACACAATGCATACCCACATTCCTTGATTGATAATTTTAGGAGTCTGTAGCATGCTTATTGCTACACAGATGTTTTACTTAACATTAGGATGACCTCTCGCAGAATGCATGCCTGCATTCTTTAGATCATTTCAGAGGTCAGCTGCACGCTTGCTGCTACACAGATATCTTCATTATAGCTTGATGTTGGTGTTGTGGTTCCATTGTTTTGGGGTTCTGCACATGTTCCCTGTTATCTTAGCACGCTGCTCGGCTAATCCAGGGAACATCCAAAGTTCATAACTGTATCCCCATTTGCAACAAATGGATAAATCATGACAAAGTGTTCCTGACTGAAATGAAGCATTGTGTTAGTTTATGCAGGACACAATCACATGCTCAGCTGCCAGCCTCCGATTATGGTTATGGGTGATCGTCAGCCACCCACCAATCACAGCCCATTCTCTCACCAAAGCGGTCCCTTTAAATACGACCTCGTCCTCACTGATCCCTGCTCAGCTACACTGCCAGCAACGCCTGCTGCCGATAACTTGCCTCCACCACCCCAGCCTCAACCTTTTAGCACCGAGTCCAAACAAGGTATACGATATTCATCCTAAACAAAGGTACATTGCCTGCTAGACCCAACAGGGGGTTCTGCACATGTTCCCTGTTTTATCTTAGCATGCTGTATCCTCATTTGCAACAAATTAGTAAATCATTAGATAGTGTTCCTGACTGAAGAAGCGTTATCAAACCCCCCACACACGCTTGCAATTAATCCAGCGAGGGATGCCCTGCTGTGTTCTCATATGGGATTCTCCTGACATTCTACAGACTTTATACTAAAGGGCCAGCAGAGAAAGTGCAACTCCTCTGGACAAAATACAGAGGATCTGTAGAGTTCAATGCATGCATCTGAAAGCAGCTTGTGTGTGTGACTGGAACCAGCTGCCGTGAGGCCATTCCCCCCACATGGGAAGTAAATACACCTACATGATTTAACACTTTATATCCAGCAAACTAACTGATAAGTGCAATAACATTAGGCAGCAGAGCAGATACATATATAAGTATTGAGGTTGCAGCAAACCGTTTGCAGAGGATTTGTTGCTGTGAACGCGTCTGAGCAGAGAACCCCCACTGCATTGTAAATGTGTGAAACGAAAACTCAGGAGAAAGTCAAGACCCAATTATGCAGAGATACTTTGCACGACATGTCTGAAAAAAACTTAGGAAATATTTGGGAATCTCTGGACACTGTGCTCCTTCATTAATTACATTAATGAACTTTCAGAGATGTAGACAGAAGTGTTTATAGACTCTTGCACAATCCATGTGGCACTAGACGCACAGTATGTACAGAGTAAAAACATTTGGGAGGTGCATTACCAGCTAAAGCAACACCATGTGCTAGAGGAAATGGAGTCATTTCTGGCAAGTGGCACCACACGCAAGGACAGAAACACTGACCCTAAGCTAGACTAGGCCTGGGCCGATAATCAATAATTCAATTAATCGCACGATAAATTAAAATGAACTCGATAATTTTGCCGGCCTCGATATATCGCCATGTGCATGCGTGTTTGTTTTCCTCGTCTCTCACCTCCAAGCAGGCTGGATGACAAGAGGGTTCACTCTGTGCTCTGTCTCAGCACCTGGGGGCGTTTGTTGCGGAATGAACGGAGTGAACCCTCTTGTCAGTCATCCAGCCTCTTTGTCTCTGTGGGGGGAGGCGGGGCCGCTAGCATTAGCTACACATGCTACACGCACAGAGTGCAGCGAGTGAGCATCGTGCGGAGCAACGCGAGGAGAAAAGATGATTGTAAAGTCAAATGCCACAGCCCCGGTGTGGGAAGGTTTCGGCTCCAAACCAAATGAGCAAGGTGAGCCCATCAACACGGACGAACCAGTTCAAAAGTGGTGGCAACGAAAAAAGGCAACACAACAAAGTTGCATGCCCACCTAAAGCATCACCACCCGACCCAGTTTAACCAGCTGGGGAAACAAAGTGCAGCTCGAGATGCAGAGCCTTCGTCCCGACAGACAACACTCACTGAGGCGTTCGGTCGACAAAGTAAATATAAACGGAACAGCGCAAAATGGTGTGCGCTCATTGAAAGTGAAGTTCGCTAGATCGCTAAAGGTAAAAAACACTGGGAAATAAAAGTTTATTGTCTTTGAAAGGGTGTGCATTATTATGATATATTATCATGTTGACAATAATATCATTTATCGGCAATACTTCGTGTGACAATATATCGTCCAGCAAAATTTGTTACCATCCCAGGTCTAAGCTAGACTTTTCTTCCTTGTGGGCATCTGTAGGTCGGTGGACGGTGGTTAAATCCCCAGCTACTCCAGTCTGCATTTCTTGGGGAAGATACTGAACCCCAAATTACTCCTCTGCTTTGCAGACAGCGCATGAATGGTGTGTGTGATAGAAAATGATCGAAAAAAGCGCATAAATGTGTGTATAAATGTATAAAATATATGTGTGTTTAAAAATGGGTGAATGTAACTGCAAAGCCCCTGTAACAGTGACCATTGAAAGAAAACGCTATGTAAATACATTTCATTCACTATCTTACCTCTCTTGGTAATGATAATACGGAGCAGTGGATTGGCTGCTGAGACAGCTTTGTGGAAGTTGTCATCGTTGTTGATTGGGAGGAGGTCTCCATGTACGTCAGCGTATCCCAGAAGCACATCAACACCAGGTATATGATGGATAGTCTGGAGGAGGTGGTAGAACTCCTGGAAGTCACCTTGGCCATTCCTCTTTAGAGCGAACCGACGGTATTCTGCCTCAAACTGCAGAAAGTGAACGACACATTCATTAAATGTTAGTTTTTCCTCAGATATTTTTCAGACAAACTAGATTAATATTACTTTTAACACTTTAATTTCTTTTTGACATGTTAAGTGTGTTTGGCTGCTTTCACCACTAACATCAAAGACATAAGTATTCTCACATGAATACAACCATATCATAATTAACAACATATGGAATTTAAATAATTTTCTCACTTCTCCATTCTTGCACAGCATCGTGTTTTAGTACAGGTGAAGGCTGTGGCATTATGCCCATTGAAGCAATGAGTCAAGTGTTAATATAAATCATATCCTCAAAATGTCAAACACCCCATCTTGTCCTTCCCCAACCGTATTTTTCTTATGTTTGGTTTATGAGGTTCTTTTCTTATTGCTTCTATGCTGAATGACAGGGGCTAGCAAGTAATCTTTTGCTAAGCCAGTAGATGGGGGGCCAGACTATAATCAAAGACTAAATCAATAAATAAATCATGAAAACATTTAATAATAAACCAAATAAATAAAAACTGTTATAGAATGCTAATCAAACTCATACAGTCATCAAATTGTGTTGTGCTGTCAGTAGTGTTGTTCCAGTTCACACTTAAAATGAACTACCCTGCTCAAAAAATTACATAGCATAGTCACAGTATAACAGCAAGTCAGTTAAATTTCAGGGATATCAATCTGTCCATGTAAGAAGCACAAGTGATAATGAATTATCTTTTCTTTCTTTTTTTTAATGGTGACAGAATAAAATGACATACAAGATAGTTAAGATATACAGAAATATGTACATAATGAAAAGAAATGTCCATGTTTAATTGGCTAGGACAAGCTGTGGTCTAAATTGAGGAAAGTGGAGTGGAGAGATAAAAGATTGTGGAGTTTGTTCTGTGGTAGTAATAAATATATGACAGCATGTTATATATGTTACAAAAAGAGACAGAAATAAATAAATAGTAATAGTAAAAACAAAATGAGATAAGTAAATACATTCATATACCCTATATTTTATCTGAATATACCCTATATAATGATAGGTGTTATAATATATAGTATAATAATATATAATTCAAACCATCATAATAATTAATATGCATCTGTGCAGCGATGGGGTGTGGTACCTGACCAAACGAGCAGCGAGGTGAGGAAGGGCCCCCCCCCCTTCAGTTCCACAGCCACAAGTCCCAGTAGAATATAAGTGGTGTATAATTTTGTATTGAACTATTTGTAGGTTTGTGTTACATTTCACAGTGTTGGTCGTCATTTCAAAGATGTTTTTTTATTTATTTCTATCCAGAAGTCATTTGAGGGAGAAATGTTAAGGTCAGAGTTCGTTAGCTGTTGGGATTTATATGGAGTTGTCTGAGCTCAGTAATATTCTAGAGATTTTTTATGTTAGTTTATTTAGATTTGTAAATTGAATTATGTCATTTATTATTTTTGAAGATTCAAGTGGGTTATGAGTTGTATTTATTTTTTTTTTAAATATAGATTTCAGTTGGAGGTATTCCAAAAATTGGAATCTGCCAAGTCTGAAGTGATTGTTATTGAAAAGTAAAGCATTTTTGGGCCCATGTGTGATAGTAAAGAGGAGTGGTGCAGCGTTTAAAGTCGGGGCTGTGCCAAATAGGGGTGTATTTTATATGGTGGTGGGGTGGAGTTAAAGATCTTCATGACTTTCCACCAGGCTGTCAGAGATGTTAAGATGGCGGTAATTTTAAATCAAGGATGTTGTTTGACAGGTAAATCTGAGAGTGAGATGCTTTTTGCTCTAGATCCTCTAGAGCAAAAATATTGTTCCAGGTTTATCCAAGCAATAATATGGTTGGTTTGATGGATCCATTTAGTGAGGTATTGTAACTGGTGTGCAAAGTTTGGGGTGTCAAGCCTGCCAAGAGATTTTTGGGAGAATGGATAGTTTGATTTTGGCTTTTTTATTTTTCCAGTAGAAATGTGAAATGAGAGTTGGTAGAAGGAGAGAGTGTGGGCATCCTTGCCTGGCGGGTCATGGAAGTTTGCGAACAGAAAAGATGGATAATACTACCACCGGAAATCCAAAGGAGCAGCACAGAAAAGAGGATAAACACTGTGTTGTCTCCAGGATGGAAAACTGAGAGACAAAGACTTTCTAATGCTGAAGTCTCCAGTTTTCTGTTGAACAGATAATTTACCACATCAATATAATTTCAATATGTTGTTCAATTGATTAGTTTAATTACTATGCACCAGAAATACAATGTGTATATTCAGGCTCAGACTGTTATAGTAATTTTTACATTGTTACAGAAAGACTCATAT